GAATCAAAAAAGCGATTTCATTTCAGTCCAGCAAGTAAACATAAAATGTGCATCTCACGTTTTTCTCTCCTACCACTTCAATTTGACTTTTCTTTTACATTTCCGTGTACTTGGCGTGCCGACGACACTTTTAAGAGCTTTTTGTAAACTGCTTTTAATGCATATATTAAAAGGTCTCAAGTAGGTGCAAGTAGGATTCTCTGTAACAAAAAAATAAAAAAAGGAAGGGAAAAGAAAAAATAAGCATCAACTTCATTTTATTCATGATGTATTTATATATATATATATAGTATATATATAACTTGTATAAAACTCTAAGACATTTTATAGCGAAACGATCCACTAGAACTCGTATTTCGTTCGCTTTCCATACTTACTTGCTTTGCTTCGCTTAAATATTAACCACTTTCTTTACGACTTGTGAAGTACAACTTCTGTAAACTTTCACATTTATTGATACACAAATTTTTCAACTTTCAAAATTTCAGTTTTCTTTTACATGCCAAATATTGCTTTACGTTTATTTTTAGTGTATTTGAAAAATTTATTATCATACTATTGCTGTGATGGTTGTCTTCGATGGATTTTTTCGTAAATAGAGAAAAATTAAAATTTTTATCCTTACATTGCTTAAAATATTTTTTTTAATTTCAGTAGTATTGGAAAATTATAGTCGGGCAGTATAGTGAAAATTTGTTTCAATCGGACTGAATAAATTCTTAAGTATGTGAAACTCAGTTTTCAGTAGTAAAGATCAAATTTTAGTCAGACGAGTATTTTATTTTTATAAGAGTCTATTAAAACTAAGTTTCAGTAGTAGAGGACAGATTTTAGTCAGACGGACAGTTTATTTTTATAAGTCACTTGAGCGAAAGTAGATAAAAAACATTATAGTCAGACTACACTTGTTTAAATCAATCTAATTTCAGTTTTAGTAAATACAAAATTTTAATTATAATTATAAAAAAAAATAATTAATTCCAAGCAATGTACAGATAAAAGTCTCACTTTATTGATGTAGATATTAAAAGTGAAAACATTTTATAATTCGAACTTAACAACACAGTATTTCATCATCATTTGCGCTTATTGGAAAATTGCAAATATTTAATAAAATTGAAAAATAATGGAATTTTTTTCCTCTTGCAATTTTTGTTTTTTTTAATTGAAAGTGTATTTAAAAATGTAGTTGGCTATTATAGGAAACAATTTGAATATTTTTGTTTTATAAATTATGAGAGGCTTTTGAGCTTTGTGACAAACGTGTTCTCATTCACATTCCCTTTTATCACTAAAGTGTAGTGCCTTTCAATATAACAGAGTTTCATTGAAAAAAAAATAAATCTTCATTAAACTTTGCTTTTTTAATCGACAGACACCAACACATATTTTGAGGTCAGCGTAACATTTTTAATTGATTTGATGAATTTTTGAAACTCGAAACAAAAATTAACAGAGTGCTTCCAGTTAAAGAGAAATTTTTTTTAAAAACGTTTTACATTTGAAAAAAACCTCCAAAATATGTTATTTTACCGTTCGTATCAAAAGTTAGGCAAACGGAAATTTCAATAAAATAAAAATATAAATAAAAAAAATATATAAATCATAACGATAGAGGTAAAAAATAATTCGAAAAGAGATTTGTGTCAATATATTATTAAATCAGGAAAATGGAATTATTAAAATATTTATTGCTGTAAAATTAACAATTTAGAGATGTGGATATAAAAAAAAAGTAGAAATGCTTTTCTGTTGTTATTATTAAATTAGAAAATAAATTACACAAAATGGAAATTTGAAATATTTATCGAATAAAATTTACTTAGTAAAAAGGAAATTCAATTATTTTTAATGATTTTAAAATTATTACTTCTCGACAACTAAAATGTAAAATGACAAACTAAAATGAATTTCGTGTCTGACAAGAGCTTTCTGTTTTCACTTAAAATTCATTTGCAAGTCTTATTCAATTAAACTGCTTGAAATTTTCATTTTATTTCATATCTTTTGGAAGTTTTGAATTTTATGAAAAGTTTTAAGGAAACATAAATATTTATATACACTGTTCTGTTAATGAGATAGTTTAAAATTTTAAAAAAATTAACAAAAGTATTTTTTATTTGAATTTTTTATAATATTTAACTTAATGTATAAATAGTTAATAAATTTACTAAAATAAACGTTGTAAATATATTTAGTAAACAAACGTGGTAGATGAATTTAATAAATATTATGAGTTAAAAAAATTTAATAAATTTATAGTAAACAAATTTAGTTAATATTATAATTTTTTTTATAATATTATAATAGAACTTAAAAATTTTTAATTCAAATTTATTTTTATAAAAATAAAATATAAATTATAATATAGTTTTAATATTATTATAACTATAATACACGGAAAAACCTTTAAGCAGTCTGCTCACCTGAAACTTATGCGTCAGCGCCACCACTAAACTTGTTCATCTGCACTCCCAAACTGGGTGACCAACGTACGCAGTTGTAATTTTCTAAACTTTTTGGGAAATTTGTCTATCGAAAACGGTAATGCTACGCACCCAGTGGCGGGCGATCAGACTTTCCATGCAGTGAGAAGCGAAATTTTGTGACAGTGGGAAGACAGACTTCTCAAAGGTTTTTCCGTGTATAATATATTCTTATACAGGAAATTCAGGGAAAACCTTCAATTTTTTCAATTTGTGAAAATAATTTCTTTTTAAATAACTTAATTCTTGAAAAACTATCATAAAATAATGACTTACAAATTAATAAATGTATAATTTTACTTAAATATTTCAAAATTATTTCTATTTTAAAAGAGTTGCGTTTATAATTTTCATAAATAAGTAAACTTCAAACGGTTTCAATTTGAAATTTTATAAAATTTTAATTTTGAATAAGTTTTATTAGAAATTTTAAACAACTTAGATTTTTAAAAAATTTTAACATATATATTTAATTAATTATCAAAGAAAATGGATTTATAGAAAAATTTTAGTTAAAAGCACTAAAAAAATTGAATTTTGAAGAAGTTACAAATGATTGCAAAAGTCCAATTACTTTCAAAAGTAATAAAATTCTTATCACAAAATTCAATTATGTTCAAAATTGAAAAAAAATCTTGTCAAAATCTCAATTATCTTTATAAATAATAAAATTCTTCTTCAAAATTCAATTATTTTCAAAAATTTTAATAAAATTCTTGGAAAAATTTTAATTATTTTCAAAAATTTTCCTAATTTCAATAATTTTCAATATCTTTACTATTTCAATAAAACTATCTAAAAGAAATTAATTATTTAAGAAAATTTTTAATAAAATTGCATGCAAACATTTAATTATTTTCATAAATAATAAAAATTTCACAGGAATTCAATTATTTATAATTTTTTTTATAAGTTTTTCTCAATAATTTAAATAATTTTCATAAATTATAAAACTCATTGGTGAATTTCAATTTTTTTTAATACAATTTTAATCGAATTTCTTGAAAAATGTAACTATTCTTAAAAATTTAATTAAAATTCGTCAAAATAATTCAATTATTTAAAAATTTGGTAATAAAATTCTTTATAAGAATTAAATTTTAAGAAACATTCAATTATATAATGTACTCTTGTATTTAAATAATAGAATTCTCATAGCATTTTCGAATAAAAATTGATTTAAAAATGAATTTTAGTTAAAATTTTAGATAATAATTGAATATATGAAAACAATTTTGAAGAAATTACAGTAACAATATTCTTATAACATAAAATAATTATTCTATCTCTCGATAACAATATTTTTAAACTTGTTCAATTTCAAAAAGGTTTAAATTTAAAATTTTTTAAAATCTTAATTCCTATGGAAAAATAATAATAATCATCAGAATTTTTTTCACTTCTTTTCATTAAAAGACTAAAATTTTGTTAAATATTATGTTTTGTCAAGTTGAAATTATGCAGATTTTTGTTCTTTACTTTTAAACAAAATTAGAAAATTGTTAAACAACTGTGATTAAGAAATAGAAAATTTATTTATTTTGCATTATTTTTCTTTATGAATCACAATTTTTTTAAACAAAATTATTAATTTGTTTTAGAAAAAGAAGAAAAATATTTGCACAATTCCTATTTTTAATCTTATTTTTGGAACAGGATTTTCCACAGGAATTAAGACATTCAAAAATTTCAAATTCAAACCTTTTTTAAATTAAACAACTTATAAAAGTATTTGTTATAAAACATGAAGATATCGATTGCTCCGAATCGAAGACTCGGAGTGATCGATTTCTTCATGTTTTCTGATAATTAAAAATGACCGAGAGATAAAATCATTATTTTATATTATAAGAATATTGTTACTGTAACTTTATCAAAGTTATTTTTATCATTTTAATTTAATTATTATTTTCTAAAATTTAAAATTATTTTTTATGAAAATAATAATTGAATTGCTTACAAAAATTGTATTATTTATGAAAATAATTGAATTCTTCTTGTGAAATTTTATTAAAATAGTAAATATTGAAAATCATTGAAATTAAAAAAAATTTTGAAAATAATTGAAATTAGGGCAAGAATTTTTTTAACATTTATGAAAATAATTGAACTTTGGAGAAGAATTTTGTTATTTATAAAGATAATTAAGATTTTTACGAGAATTGTTTCAAATGAACATAGTTGAATTTTTTAAGAAAAATTTTATTTTTTTTTTAAATAATTAAATTTCTGCAATTATTTGTAATTTTTCTAAAATTGAATTTTTTTTAGTGTTTTCAACAAAAATTTAAATTAGAAAATTTTTAAATTCTATTATTTTGAAAATTGCTAATTTTATTTAAAAAAAAGGCAGCAAGAAGTTAGCTGCGCGCTTAGCGCGCGAATTGTTGCTAGTTGTAAATAAATTAATTATAAAGTGAATATAAATTAATACATAAAACCTATAAATTCATATAAAAATTTATTAATAAAATTTTGTTCTGTTTTCGTTTTTTTTTCACTTTTGATTGACAGCCTTTCAAGCCGGAATTTTCTGACCTGGATTATGCAGATGTGGACTACCGATCGTATGGGCCTATAAACTATAAAGCTGCAAGCATCGCTCTGCTACAAAATCGAAAACAACAACAGCAGCTGTTAGAACGAAGGCCACAGATGTACGGCGTTTCTGACGACAACGAGGAACTTCTGTAAAAGTGATCCTTTCACACGTCCTTCAAAGTGCCATCATTTAGTATACCCGCAACCAGGAAATAAATACGACTCGATCGGTATGAAGTCGCCTACTTTATACATAATTATAAATAAATCAATATAAATATATAAATATATATGTATAAATAATATTTTGTACATAAGCGCGGAATTCAAAAATTTAAATTCACAAGCATTCTTCAATTCTTAGTTAAAAATTAAAATTAACGAAAATCTTTATTCTAAATTTCAAATTTTGAATTCTTTGAAAATTTTCATTTTTGAACAATCTTAATTTGATTAAATTAAATATAAAATTAGGAAAAATGTTTTTCTTTTTTAAATAATAATTTAAATTTTGAATTATCATTTAGTTCAAAGATTTAAATATGAATGAAAGAAAATTATTAATTTTCTTCTTAAAAGGAGAATTTTAGCGTTATTTTTTGTATTTAACTTGAAACATGAATTTCCTTTGGTTGTCGGTGACAATTTAAGATAGTTCTTATTTGATTGAAAAGTAATATAGAGTTCAAAAGCGTCGATCTCGTTTTGTAAAAATTTATTGCATTTCAAAGAACTTGAAATCGAAATTTTCAATAAAAGGAAAATACGTATTTCTTGAAACGTTACATCGTTTTTTACTAGAATGCTCGTAAATTTATTTCCGTGCCAGGTGTGTTCTGGGATCAATCTAATATCTACGTCTCAGGGCGATAGTCTAAGATGAAGGACATACCTTTTCAATCGCGACAATTCTCTTTCCACAATTTTCTACAAAAAAAAAAGAAAGAAAGAAGAAGAATCACTTTTTACGAAAAACCGAAAATTTTTCAATTCTTTTTTTCATATAAAGAAAAACTTTTCTCCCCCGTCTTCCAAATACTATTCAATATTTTTGAAATAATTTAATTACACTCTCATTTTAAATATTTTTCTTATTTTTCATTACTCAGGTAATTTTGTTGTTGTTATTGTCAAGTAGATTATTAGGAATAAAGAAGAGATTGTTTCTATTTAAAAAAAAAAGAATGAATTTTCACTCGAAAAATTATTAAAGTTCAGTTGAAAAAAAATTGATATATATTTTTTTTTTAATATCAAGTTTAATACGAGCTTTTTCATTATAAATCCTAGAAAACTGTTGATACTCAATGGGAGAAAAAAAAGGAATAAGCAAAGAAAAAGTGAAGAAAACTTTGAATTTCCCCTCGTCCGACCAAAAAGTTTCTTTACTACTTAAATGTCCTCACAAATGTCTTTGGTTGGCAGTAAAGTTTTTAATTTTCTTGAATTTTATTTTTTTTTCAATTTGAAGAGAAATTTTCTTCATAAAAATCGTTAAGGGACAAATATTTAATTATTGCGAGGAAATGAAAAATTTTTAATAACTAAAAAATTATTTTAAAATACTTTTTTATTTGTTTATTGAAAATAAATTAAATAAATCAAATAATACTTAAGAAAGTTGAATTCTTCAAATCTTCAGTTTTTAATTTTCAATTTTTTACAATTTTTTTATGTGAAAATGTTACAGAAAAAAATCCCAAAAAATTCATTTAATTTGTTAATTTTTCAAATTTGAATTTAAATCCGTTGTTACATCAAATATTCCAAAAAATATATTTCTCGAAACTTTTTATGAAGCTAATTTTGCAAAATAAATTTTTTCCAAAAATTAGCAAAATCTTAAAATAATAACAAAATAATAAAATCTTTAAAATAATATGAAACTTAATTTTCAAGAATTGAATTTAAATACGTTTTTACATGAAATATTTTAAAAAATACATTTTTAAAAACATTTTATTAAAATAATTTAGCAAAATATGAGATTTTTTACAAAAGCTTAGAAAAATCTATTTTAAAATATTATCTTTTGCCATATAAGGCAAAAAAATCTTTCCACCCGGGATATAAAATAGATTATTTAAATATAATATTCTCTAGTTTCATATTTTTATTTAAATATTTATGTTTGTATATGAAAATTTTTTTTCCACCTGGGATGTGAAGAATCGTTATTTAAATATAATTCTATTTTTATTTAAAGTCCTTTCTATTTATTTTAATATTTGTATTTATATTCTTATTGTTTTTATCCATATGAGTGAAAATGAAAAAGTCAGTTAAAAAAAATTTAGTAAAAAAGAAAATTTGAAACGAAATTCTTGATATAATAATAATATTCAGATAGCGCAGTGAGAATTCATTTCCTTTTTAATAGAACATTCAAGAAGGCCAGGAAAAGTAATAGAATTATCATCAAATGCCTTGTTCCACGCCAGAAACAAAATCTCATGTCACTTTTATTACGAGTTTAATCCCAAAGACTTTTTGATACTTAGTTTTTCTTTTATTTATTTTTTTTTCATTTATTTTTATTAATATATTTTTATTTTAATTACATTATATTTTAGTTTTATTTTAATTTTATTTTTATTATATTTTTATTTTCTTTTTAATATATTTTTATTATATTTTCATTGTATCTTTCTTTCTTTCATTTTTATTTTCTTCTTTTTTACTTTCTCTTTCGTTGATATTTTTTTTCATTTTACGCATTTTTCTAAATTCATTTTTCTTTCGTTGTTTCTTATTTCTGTTTTTCTTTTTTGTTTCTTTTTTATTTCATTTTCATTTAAATATTTACGTTCTTAATTTCTTTCTTCCTTTTCGTCTTTTCCTTCTTTTTCTCGCTTTCCTTTTATTTTCATTTCAATTTCTTTTTATTTTCTTTTTATTTTCTTTATATTTTCATTTTACTTTCTTTTTACTTTCCTTTGACTTTCTTCTAACTTTCCTTTTACATTCTCTTTACTTTCTTGTTACTTATTTCTACTGCGTTTTCATTTTTATTTATTTTTTTTTTATTTTATGATTAATTTTCTTTTTCTGTCTTAAGTCAGTGAAAAATTAAAAATCGCATTTTTTTTATTCAATCGCAAAAAAACAATTCATACATTTATATATAAATGTCGCCCTTCAAAAAACTGTTGCTCGGTGAATTGAATAGCTCGTAACGCAACAAAAAAAAATGCGCGCGCTGTGTATTGCATGTAAAAAAATAAAAACAAAGATTAATAATTAAAAAAAAATTGTACAGTTAAAAATTTGAAAAATGCCAATCGATGCGTCTTAGCGTTGTAAAAAGTTATAAATAGTTATATATATAAAGCATAAGGAAATAATTGTAGTTAATAGAATGTTTATATGAAAAAAAAAAAATTAATAAGAAGCCTAAAAAAACGACGTTACTCGATTTTTTGTTACGTTGAAAATTTATTGTCAACGATTTGTAATTAAATCCTGTGCAATACTCTGTTTCACGTTCACTGCTGTGCGTGATATTTCGGCGCTTTTGAGGCTTGTACAGATTTACAAACATAGATTAGGTCTCTAAGACCTACGCACGTGCCTCAATTATTATATTTTATTCGTCAAATTTCCTTCTTTTTTTAAATTAAATTTTATTTATAAATTATAAATTATTTTATTTATTTTATAACATAGAAATTTAGTATAATTACCTATGAAATTTATTACAATAAATTATTTTATTTTTTAATTAATTAAAATGTAATATTATACAAAACAAGTGAAATATTTTTTATTATATGTATAAATATTTTTAAAGTTGTTTAATATTTGAAAATATACACGAATAAAGTCTTTAAATAATTTAAATACGTTCTTTTTCGGTTATTAAATTATTTAAATACTGAATATGAAAAAGTACCAGTGAAAAATATATATGAAAATATCAGCTTGATAATGTATAAAAACTAAATGAAAAATTGGAATTAATGTTTTCGTGAAATATTTATTATTTTTAAGTAACGAAGATGTAACAATATTCCTTCTAATTAGAATTTTATACCTTCATAAAAATTGAGTATTTAAAATTTTTTTTATTATATATTTGCATTTTGCTTTTAAATTATTTTAAATTATTTTGAATTATTTCAAATTATTTTAAATGATTCATAAATGAATTTTTATTATAAATGAGTGAACTGGATTCTCTGATATAGATGATATATTATAATCGTTCTATTTATTAACTGTATGTAAATGACACGTACATTTTATAGATTTAGTGCCATTATACACAGAGAGTTTTATTTTTCAAAAATTATTAAATGTGTATAATTCTACAATTATTGTTCATTTATTGAAAAAAAGTTAATATTTCTCAATAAAAAAAACCTTACATGACTTTTTAATTTTTATTTCAAAAAGTAGACATATCCTATTAGAAATTATTTTTTCTAGCAAAAAAGAAATTCTACGAGGTTTGTAGTAATTGTAATAAAAGTATTGTAAATTAGTCGTTAATTTTAGTTGTTTTGTATAGAAATTTACTTTTCAAAATTAAAAATTTCAAATAAAAGAAATAAGAACTAATTAAAATTTTTCTAAATATTGTCAAATTAGAAATTATATTTATACAAGAAGCTGTGTAACTTAGGGAAATATTTTTTTTGAAATAAAATTGTTAATATTTAATTTTTAATTAAAAGATGTTAAATTAGTATTTTTGAAGTTTTTCAGATTTAAAAAAATTATTTCTTTCTACAAAAGTGAATACTGTCCGAAGAGAATTAAAACAATAATATTTATTACAATAATGTATTTAATTTCTAGTTCTATTTAAGTAAAAATAATAAATAATTTTTTTTTATTATCGAAATGAATAAGTTCAATTATTTATTAAATTTATTTTAAAAAAAATTGCCATACTTTATATAAATTTTATGATAAAAATTCCAGATGGAATTTTTGAAAAAAGCTGAAAAGAATTAATTACTTTTTTTATTGAGAATATTTTTTATTTATTTATTTGAGTTTATTTTGTGAAATAAAAAATAAAGAGCACCATGAATGACCCAAGTTAGTAATAACCATAACGGGAATACTTGCAAAGTTCGAAATTGGAGAGACGGATAGAATA